TTGCTTCTAAGGAAAAAGACAGATGGCGCGCCCCCATCGTGCAGAAAGTGGGGCATGTAGGGAAGAGGGTAAAAGGAGGAAAGCACTGATGACGAATTTTATGAGGATAAATGCACCGGGGCTGTTCCATCGGTCGGTGTGCCGTGGTCGGAAGGGGCAGGGTGGGAGGAGAGGGTGGGAGGAAGCATGAGGCGGAAGGAAGGTCAAGAGGGTCGATTGGAAAGAGATCGCAATGACCATGGAGGATAGATTTGAAATGAGGAGAGGGAGTGGATGAAGGCATGAAAATTTTGGGAGAAGGGATGATGGAGAAGGGGGAAAAAATGGCGCGAAATCGCGGCAAAGCTGCAAAGATGATGGCGGACCGTCAAAGAGGCCAAGACAGAAACAGGGCCACAATGATAACTTTGACTTTTAAATGACTGCACACGAGCTTGTGAAAGCGTTGGAAAAGGTGAGGAAGTCGGGGGCCGCTGACGCGTTTAGGGGGAGGTGAGAGGGACGTGTGAAAGGGGGGGAGGGAACAGGCGGTGGAGGGAAACTCGACTTGTGGACCCGCGTGAAAGAAACACGACGTCCGCTGACAAAAGGAGAAGAGGAGGCAGTAGCCAGGGTGGGGACGGACTCGATCCGATCCGCCCATGGCCTGCCCGACCGCCTGCCCGGGCATGCCAGGATATGCTGCACCCCGTGTATATTTCATTTCCTGTGCTCAAGCAGAGCCTCCTCCGCCCATTTGACGCCCGAGTCCCGCCTCTACCCCCCGGCGTCCTTCCCTTCTTTCTCCTCCTGACCCCCGCTTGCCTTCCTGCCTGCGGCTCTTCCGTCCCTCCCCTACCCCGCAGGTCCCATCTTCCTCCTGTCGCATCCTCCCTCCCCTACCTCCCCGCATTCTCCCCACTCCCCCCACCGCTTACTTCTCGTCCGAATGCCGACCTCCTCATTTCCTCCGTCCTTCCTCCCCATGCCTCTCCCTCCACCCGCCTTTCCCACGCGGCCTTCCTCTTCTCCCTACGTCCGATCTATCCACACCCTTCCTTCCATCCCTTCCATCCCTTCCATCGCTTTCCCTTCCCCAATATTCCTTCCATTCCCTCACACGTTCGCCAATTCCCGGACCCCTACGCTCGGCCACGTCGCCCCCGTAATCTCCGAGCTCAACTCCCACATTTTCTCTGCCTTGGCCTGATCCATCACTTGCCCCGCCAACTTCCCAGGGAACACGGTTCCGCCGCTCCCGCCCGCGCCTCGAACTTGTTTGGTGGCAGGGTCGTAGTAGCCAAACTGTTGGGCCTGACCGTTCCAGCACCAGTACTGCCCGCTCGTCTTCAACGCCGGGTCCCACACGGTTTGGGCCAGACGCTCGCCGGCTTCGTTTTCGGACACGTAGCCCCCCGTGACGTACTTCATGAAGAGGGGGAAGAGCGTCCGGAACCACTGTCGCTTTTCCCGAAACAAGGCCGTTTCGGCGATGCACCCGGGGTACATGGAGGAGAAGGTGATGCCCGTGGCGTCATGGTACCGCTTGTGAAGCTCGTTCACGGTCATCATGTTGCACATCTGAGGGGGAGGGAAGGGAGGGGAGGAAAGAGGGGGGGAGAGAGAGAGATAGGTGCGAGGGATCGCGGTGGGAAGGGGTAGAGAAGAAGGAGGTTGGGCGTCGTAGCGGCGTGGTTGAGACCGGGCCACGTTCTTGACCCTTCCACGCTCATCACATCGCGAGGCCAGGCACAGGGAGGTTCAGTGGGAAATCCTCGAAATCCCATTTCTCGTGCCCGGCCGCCGCTTCCTCCCCGTCGCCCCAAGGAGCACTATCCGCCTCCCTCACCCTCTACCCCCATGTCCAGCGTTAAGTCCAGGTCTCGGACATGGCTCCATCCCACGTTCGATGTCTACATGGCATTTTCCCACCCCGTGTGAGGTAGTTACCTTGCTGTCCTTGTAGGCTTTCGCCCCGTTGAAATTCTTGCCGTCGATCATCGAGACAGGCTCCTTCGCCCCCTCCTGCATCCCTTTCAAGTCCCCTAAGGAGGCTCGCGGCCAGACAAAGGCCCCGGCGATGGTGTTGTCGTTCCCGGTGATGGAGCCCACGATCACACAGCGGGGGTCCTTGGCCTTCTTCAAGTCGTCGAGCAGGAGCGAAACCAGGAGGAAGTGGGAGAGGTGATTGATTTGGAGGGACTCTTCGATCCCATCCGGGGTGAACGTCGGGTAGTCACGGGCAGGCAGGTACACGGCCGCGTTACAGACCAGGGCATCCAAGGGCTTACCGCCCTTCACCGCCTTCACTTCCTTGGCGAAGCGCCTCACCGAGGCGAAGGATGAGAGGTCCAAGGGACGGATCGTGTAGGAAGACGGGTCCAAGCCCAGTTCCTCCGCCACGGCCTGCATTTTCTCCATGTCCCTGACGCCGCAAATCACGAAATTGTCACCGCGGGCACAGAGCGCTTTGAGCGTCGCCTTGCCCAGGCCCGAAGAAGTGCCCGTGAGGACGATGGTTTTCTTTCCCCCACGGGCACCGGCCCCAGAGGCGGATTTGGGCGCGAAAAATGATTCGAAAAAATTGGTGGCCGACAGAATCGTGCCTTTGGTGGGCCTGGCAGGCGTGACAGAGGGCATGGAAGAGCGGGAGAAGAGCGGCGACGTCCTTGCTGCGCAGGTGACGGTCGTGGGGGCAGGGACAGGGCGCATGGCGGGGAGCAGGAAGGCCGACGTCATGCCGGCCGTGGCTGCAGCAAGCACCATTGCAGGCTGCATATACTTCTTCAATGGAGCCATTCTCTGAAGTCTTTGCTTTCACACCTAGTTTGATGGGGTCGAGGACAACGCAAGGAGAAAGTTCGGATAAACGCTCCAGAAAGATAGCGAGGGAGAGGCCAGGAGACCTTGGGTGGCACCATAATCGCACCAGTCCTCGACTTTGACCGAGTGGCAGTGCTTCACGTTGCACATTTGATCCTTTCATGCAGCTTACCACAAGATACATCTCACACGGGACGATTACACCGAGAAGAATAAAGAAGGAAACCTCATGGAAGGGTACCCTGTATAGGCAACTGCAACTGCCGTTCATGTAACAACGGATGACAAAGAAAGGCTGTAGTTGTCCTCTCTCCATTAAGAAAGACGTGCCTTTTGTTCGATACGTCTTTAAAATTTCACAAAGCGCCCGCATAACTAAGCATCCGAGGCCAACTTCGGCTCTCACTGAAGTAGTAGAATTGAAGTGAAAATGATCTGGTGGGTCCAGTGCCTCCGGAGTGCTTAAAAAGTTTTCAGCACATAAAACGGGTAAAGCTTTTCTTTTAAACAATAACTTGATATTAATCTTCCTCATATGGCCCAGCCAATAGTGACCGAACCGTGTAAGGCCCTCGAGCGAGAGCGTTGCACACGAAAATGCTTTTCAACCCTGATCCTTCGTATTCAAGGTCATCGAAAGCTCTCAGAAAGTATCTTTTACTCAACGAGCTGACCCCAAGACCAAGGACCATGTCGAATGAATTTTCACGGTCCCACCACAATGTCAGGAGCAAGATAAAGGGCAAATGATGCATAATTCACGCACATGTGCCAGTAGTGCCTGGTTAAGTCGTAATGCATGGAGCAATTGGAGGTCAATTTCCTGGTGTCTGCCCGAAGCTGCGCCTGCTGCTCCTCTAACTCACGAGTCGCCGCTTAGCTAACCTCCTCACCCTCAAAAAGAGCTGCAATGTCCAGCGCTTTCTCCTTCTCAGTGTTCTTCTTTCCGTTCAAACCTCCGTCCAAAATAAAAGAAAGCCATCTTTCTATGAAGTTGAGCCGCGATCATGTTCTCATCGCAAAAAAAAAGCTTCTGGTATTGCTTGCTGCTGGGAAGGCGGGCATCCCCTTCATACATTTTGTACCTCTTCCGCCCTTCCGACCTGACCAGGGCAACGCCATGGGCCATTAAAGTTAAGAAATATACGCTCTATGGGCCAAGTCAAAACAGAGCACCTTTCGATTTTGATATTTTCTTGGAAAAAGCATGCAAAGCACCTTTCAAGCCATATCTTCAATCCCAGTTCTGGAAAAAAACATTACGTGTGTGCTTGCTCAATGTATCAATAGATAAAGTAAATCTTCCTGTGTGACATTTTTCAGCCATCATTTTCCAGCAATATTGCGAATCTGATCTTTTTGTTTGTTTGTCTTCATCTTTTCTCTTTTCCATCTTGCGGTCTGTACTTGCACGTGTGTGAGATAAACTTCTCCCTTTTACATTCTCATCGGAGCCCTCTTCACAAAAAAATATCGCGTGAATGATTTGTCATGCATCATTGTTTTGACTTGATGGCTTTCCTTGCTCGTCGCACCCATTGCTTATGCGTAGCTTTGAGAGTCTTTTTCCTCTACAAAAGCATTTTTACCGCATTTGGCGCTGCAATGCGCGAATCTTCTCTGCCTGGATCTGAGATTTTTTTCCAAATTCCTATCCAATCTTCTGCTGCATGCGTCCTTTATCACGCATCCAGTGCGCTCAAGGTGCAGGCCTGAGTCTGGAAGGGTCGATTACACCCCCCACGGGTAAGTCTCCGGGACTTCGGTAGGATCTGCTTGAAGTTTGAGCGAATGTAATGCCCGGGTGGTGTCGAGGAAAACAAAAGCGTCGTAGCGTGCTTTCATCACTGAAGGCACGTACTGCATTCGGTCCCGCGATGGATTGTAGACGACCCCTACGGCGCGATGTCCGACGCGTTTTTCGAACAAAGGCTGCCGTAGCACCTCAGGAACCACCAGCATATCTTGACCTTTGCCAGCTGTGTGACAAATGTGTTCCCAAGACCCAGGGACGCCACGGGGCAGGGGCATGACTTCCATATCCGCACCCCACCGCTTTCCCGCCATGACGCTTCCCTGATATGTGCCCAAGCCCACCAGATGCACTTGCTCCTTGCCCCAAGTCTCCCGAGCCAACTGTCCAATGTTGTGCATCCCCCCCATCGCCATGTCCGTGGCCCGCGCATCCCCATTGTGGGTGTTGTGCGCCCAAATAATCGCCTTGCTCTTGGGACCGTAAAAATGAGAAAGTCGTCGGAGGGTCTCGTGCATGTGCGTGTCCCGGGCATTCCACGAGTCGTCGCTTCCGTCTACCATGATCCGGTAGTATTTCTCCGCGTCCAGAACCACCTTTGACGATGCAAGTGAAAGAATAAAATGAGTAAGGAACCGAATAGCTCCATAAAAGCTGTTCTCCGGTCTTGCCTTGAGCTCCTCTCCCGACTGGTTATAAAACGCACCTTCGTATTCAATTCTGCGCTCAAAGCATTCTCATTGGCTTCCTCGTCATGGGGGCTTTCCGACAATTTGGCGGCTTCTTCTCGCACCTTTACGAGCAATTTCACAACCTCATTCCGACATGAGTAAGGAGTAAGAGCAGCTGCCATCCCGTACGCCTGGCCTACGTCTTCCTTCCCCATCGTGGCCACGCGTTCAAAACAGGCCAAAGCTCGCTCGGCACTTTTAATTGACTCATCCCCATCTACACTGCGCATGAATTTGACAATTGCTTCTAAGGACTCCATCAGGGAATACACATCCAGACCGTAAAAGCCGACGCGCTCTTGTGCAGGACGTTTCATGTTGAATTCACGCATCCAGCCAGTCAAAGCGGCAACCTCCCTATGGTATGGGTAGGCACACATATCTTATGAGAGCAATCTAAGTCCTGAAACAAAGAAAAGATGCATCAGACCCGAATGTTATATCCCATTAAAAATACTTACAGGTCCGATCGACTCTCGTGTGTATCCCCACGCACTTACCAATTACCCCACATCCAAACTGGCCAACGCTTAAAATAGGCCTTCATCACATCTTATTGTTGAATATGTGAGGTATTTATGGCTGGGGTAAATCATATCTTATTTCGCAGGCGAAATACCAAAAAAGTTCTGGACCTAAAGGAACTTACCAGAAGGATGCTTGGCTGAGTCCTTGAATCCTTTTATGTAACGGTTGAGTTCCTGTACAATATGAGGATGTCTCATTCATTTCAGATGTGTCAAAAAAATGAAAAGTTCCGGAAGAATTTGATGATCGACTTTGCCAGAAACCTACGTAGCAATCAGGCCAGTCCCCCTCGACGCCGACAAAGTTAAAACCTTTTTCTTCAATAAGCCGCTTCGTGATATGTGCCCGCCATGTATAAAACTCATGTGTTCCGTGCGAAGATTCTCCCAGGAAGACAAATCGCTTGTCCCCGATGGACTCCAACAAAGGATCCAGGTCCCGATCGTTGCGAAGCGGAAGCTTGTGCTGCTCCAATGTCTCGGTCATTGCTTTGGCATATTCCATGGTATTCTGTGTATCTGAGACTTGTTCAGAAATAGATACAACGGTTTTCAAAGGGGATAGACGATGATTTAAGCCAGCAAGATGCGCAACGTTATTGTTGTTCGACGCAAGAGAAGGGGTGCCAAAGGCGGCGGCTGCGCGGGTAGCTGCAGATGCGACAAGACTAAGCACGGGTAATGTAGCGATTTTGACAGCTCTAATGTTTTGGAAGAATAAAAGCCGTGAGACTAGATATTTTTTAGTCCCTACCATGTTTGCGCGAGACGAACGCAGTGCTTTCGATGAAATTGGGACCACATGAGTACAGGAGGTTCAATGGCCGGGCAAAACATCCCACGCGTCTTGGATACATATGCTCCCTCCTGGCATGAGAACACGAAACTTAATAATGTATCAGTAGACTTTCATCATTAGGCCTCATTGTGATGAAGAACTGTGTCCCTGGAGCCAGCCAGTTTGTTGACATCTGGAAAAGAACAGTTTTCCCAGGAACATGCGTCGCGTATCATAGACCGTTACTTTTGTCAACCGTCATTCCCAGCCCGAAGTTTGTTAACATTTTTAAAATGACGATTCTATCTTGCACACAGGCACATTATGCCTCGTCAACGTGTGGGATATCGCCTTACTGATCATGAGATAAGATCTGTGAACGATGTTGTTTGGGTATACGAGGATGCGTCAATGGTTTTGCTTGGGGGTGAGGTCTGGCCAGCTGCTTTCGTCGTAAGCGAGTATCTCTGCAGCTTTCTTAATTTCGGTCCATCAGTTCGCCCAATGAAGCCACAAACAACCTTGACAATCATTGAGCTCGGGGCAGGCGCGGGATTATGCGGTTTAGTTGCCTTGGCCACTGCATTAAAATGCGGCGGAAAGTACGTAGATTGTTTCCTCACCGATGAGACACACGCTTTATGTGAGGTCAATCTCGCCCATTTTAGGGCCTCAATCCCCGCTACTCTCCACACAAGTCTTCCATTGAATCTTTCTGATCGTTTTATGAACACGGCTGCACGAGCGACCTGCCCCACTAACTTCTCTGCTCAAGCATTGGAGCTTTCCTGGGGCTGCTGTCCGTCAAATTTAGCTCCCGCCCTTGTTGATGCCTGTCGATCTGCGAATGAATTATGCCTCATTGGCTGTGAGGTGACCCCAATGCTGCAGACACAACTTGCACTTCTGGATACAGTTCACACCCTGCTCTCAATATCTCCGAAGCTAAAGTCAGCGTTCACCAGGTCAGTCAGAGTGATGTTTCATTCTACCAGTCTTCTTACTTTGAATCTTTCCCCCTCGGTCCTTCTCCATTGATGCAAAGGCCGTAGTAACATACGCAATCTTGACCTCTTCTTCGCGTTCACACATCCCCAGGTCCTCTGCTGTCGCCTTTCTTACCATCGACGCCTGTGTGAGCGGGTCTTCCTATCCCTTCGTGTGCCCACACGAACAATCATGCGCGGGGCACAAATTCCTGAGTTTAGTAGAAGCACGCAAAGGAATGAGGTGGGAACTCGTCAAAAGGTGGAGCAGGGAAGAAGTTCAGGATGCTTGGCAACGATTGCGAGTAGTGGAGGACAGTTGTTCTGGAGACAGCATGGACGGTAAGAGCTCACGCCGCAGTGACAGCGATGGGGATAAACGTTTTGTTTGCACAGACACGAAGAAGTGTTGTAGCAGTGGGAGGGACGGGGAGCAGAAGCAATGGAGGCAAGATGGCTGCGAGGGTAGGGCGCTGGCTGTGACGGCGCCGGAGGGGTTGGTGCTGGTACGGGTCGTTCTGGAGGAAGATAACGAAAAGGTAACGTGATCCCGGGGGAATGATCTCAAGAAGACATGTCCCTTGCCGAACGTGCATTTTCACATCATTGCACAATTGTACATGAATAAAATACTGAGTGCGCGAGTGCTCTGAGATGTAAATCTGATTTCTTTTCCCCGTATTGACACGTGAGCTCATACGCCAAATGATCGGCACTTTTATGCATATAGTCTCAACGCGAGCGCTCCCCCTTTATTTAATCTTTAACTGCGTACAATTTGCTTTCCTGTCATTTTCTGCTTCCCTCTTGCCCCCCAAAAAATATTTCCAACAGGTCAGGTCCTGCTCTCCATATTTGAAAAATTCATAACACAAAGCTTACACCATACCTGAAGTGTGGATGCCGTCACTGTCGTCTGTCTATGAATTGAATGAAAAAAGGACATGGGCAGTTTCTATTGCATCAATTGTCACTGATATTTTGCTTATGCCTTTGTTCTAGAGGTCTTTCCGTGGGTATGGCTGTCGGATGGGATTCAATCGCATTTGATGTGGTCGATGTAGACGCTTGTACACTCAATGCATTCTTAATTCGGAGTTAATAGACAAATTTTAACGTCACCGCACTGGATAACGGGGTTCCAGAGCAATTTGTGCATCCGCAGACCTGGATCGACATATTTTTAAGAGCCTGAGCGTCTGGGGCGTATTCCTTGTAAACTTCAACATGATGCTGCCACAAATGCTGTGGCTGGTTACTTCCTGGTGGCGAAAAGGGTCCGTGGTGCGAAAAGCTCACATATATGTTCTGTTCATGACCGGTGATTGGCATGAGGGTACTCACAAAATAAGGGAAGTGAAAGTATCTGGTGTGCCGCCTCCATGATGGAGACGCGTCCAGTGCTTTGCGAAGACTCCCCTAGAAATACAACCTTCTTGACAAAAGTACCTGGTTTCGTGAAGTTTTGGAGCATGAGTGTTTATACCGTATCACATTATTTTTAAGTTGCCTTTTTACGTAAAAGCGCAGATCCTGTAGCAGCAGCGTTTGACCTTTTCTTCATTTCGTCGTCGACTTGATGGAATATAGCTGCATGTGGGTTTAAAAATTTTGATGCTTCACAGTGAGCCATGAGCATTACATATGTCCGCATATTGTGCTCTCCGGGACCGGCTGCCTGCATGTGTATTGGTTTTTTCTTTTCAGGGGCTGGGTTGCTGGCATGTCACGTGTACCGAATCCAACGCAGGAACGGTTCCACTTACCATTCGTCTCTTATTAAGGCCACATGTTGACGGCAAGTTTACAATTTCATAACATTACATGAACAAAACGTATAGGGATGTTCTTCGGCTGCGTAAAGAAGCGGATCGTCGTAAGCCTTTTCTCTTTCCTGCTTTTTTGCTGCCTATACGCGTTTCGGGCTGAGACTCAGGTGCGGGTGCCGGGCTGCCCGTGTAGCAATATCACTCTATGCCAACCCATTCAAGGCCAGCGGGCGAAAGAAGTGTTTGGTTTCCGTAACAGGGGCAGTAATGACAGCAGGTTCGAGGGATATGACTGGAATGTGGTAACTACAGTTGCCTGGAACCCGTCGCCCCAACTCATGTGCGTAGCCCACGCCCATGGTGCCAGAGTGGTAAGTTGATCAACTTCGGCCTCCCCCCATCTTCATATAAGGGCACATCATTGCCATCACGTTTTTTTGTGCACGGGAAACTGCCCTATCACTTGTCGAATTGGCTCCCTACGGAGAGTATGACCATGATAATGCTGTCCCTAGATTACAGAGAGTGCGGCGCTGCTGTAGGATGGGCCCCCGTTCTCCTTTTTCAATGTCCTCAAACTGTCGTCAAGGGAGGCAAACGCATTCGAAAACATGCGTGCAAGGGTGTGTGTGTGACAGAATGTAAAACGTCATCGCCCACGTAGTTCTATGCCCCTCAACCCCAGGGGATCAAGGCGTTCCTCCTATCTGCTCCGCACCATTCCAAGCTGTTTTGCTCGTTTTAAATTCCTCTCTCACGTTCTTCGTACTCCTGTCCAATTTGTCATACCTTCCCTCCTTCGTGTGTCTCCCTTAGGTCATGGCCGCCCCCGAGCCATTGCCCATCTTGGCCGGCGACGACGCCACCGCCCGGGCCGTTTGGATCGCAACGACCGTAACGGAAATTCAAACCCAGTTCCTGGACGGCATCGTGTTCGATTTCGAAGCACCCTTGCTCCCAACAGATCCTGCCAATTCCAAGTACGTGTCCTTGGTGGCCGAGACCCGCGCGGCTTTGCACGCCAGGATACCCGGATCTCAAGTGTCCGTGTGCCTTGCCTGGAGCCCGCATGGGGTCGATGGGAGGTACTACGACAACATAGGGTTGATCGAGGCGGCGGACCTGGGCTACATCATGGGCTACGATACGCGTTCTCAGGTAATGGCCCAATGTGTGGCCAGCGCCAATGCGGCGTTGCCGGCCTTGGCGTGGGGGCTCCGCGAATACATGACCCTGGGGGCGGATCCTCAAAAATTGGTTCTGGGCGTGCCCTGGTACGGCTACGATTATCGGTGCATCCCGCAAGGGAAGCAGGGGGAGGATGGATCAGGGCGGGGGGAAAGGGGAAGGGAGGGAGGCGCGGAGGGCGGGGGGCAGGGCGAGGGGGAGGACGGTCGCGTGGACCCCACGACTGTGACGTGCGCGATAGAACTGGTTCCTTTCCGCGGCGTAGGCTGCTCGGATGCTGCCGGGAAGCAAGTGCCGTACAGCACGATTCAGGCCCGCTTAACGGCGGGGGAGACAAGCACGGGCCGACGGTGGGACGGGTACATGCAGACGCCGTTTTACAATTATGTGGACCTGGGGGACGGCAGCGTGCACCAAGTGCATTACGACGACTCGGAATCGTTGCGCGTCAAGTATGACCTGGCCAGGCAGCTGGGCTTGCGGGGGGTAGGTCCCTACACGTTTGATGATGTTTGGGAGGAAGGGGAGGGGGGGAGGGAGGGGGCCGACGCGATGTGGGCGGTTTTGAGGATGTACGTGGAAGGGGATACTGCGACTGGAGAGGCAGAGATTGGACGGAAATGGAAGGAAGGGGTGGATGAGGTGGGAACAAGGTAAAGGGGAGAAGAGGAAAAGAGGAGGGGAGGAGGAGGCGATGAAAAGGAGGGAGTAGAGGTGAGCAAACGTGAATGATGTTTTGATTAATTTGCATAGTCGTGGGGTGGGCGAAAACGCCATCAATGTCGGGAACATAAAGGGGAAAAGATGGAGTGGGAGGGTCGCGCGGGATGAGCCACCGGCCAGATAAGAGGGGTTGTGCAGGGGAAAAGTGTGGGACAAGACATGTACATAGGCCCAAGAATGGGCCAAGAACAAAGCAAGCAACGCCAAGGATGAGGCCGATTGGCACATCTTCGCCTAGACTTTGTGATTGCTCTCTTCCTTGCGCGTCCCCAACCTTTTGCGTACGGAGTCCTCGATGTCCTTGTGCGGTTGAAGGCACACTATCCAGGCTCGAGCCAGCTCTAGCCTCCAAACAGTCGCAGGCATCGGGAGATGCAAGATTGAAGACGGGGACCAGGAGTCCAGCATATCTCCTACCTGCCAGGTTCCCGTGCGACGAGTACTGGAACGAAGCTGCGTGTGCCAGTGCAAGGACTGAGCCCTGAGGCTGCATATCAACAGGTGAGGATAAGAAAGGACACCCCACGCTTCTCCTCGTGGTAATGCCCTGGCATCCCGGAGGAGCTCAAATGCGGATTCCGTGTCTGTGATTCTTTACCTAACGCTTTACAAAATCTGCAGGGCTGCGTCACCCGGGTGCACGGTCCGCAGCCTCTTTCCCCCCCTCCCTCCTTCCCTCCCTCCCTCCTCCCCGCTGTCATCCCACCTCGCTTTCAGCCACAGCCTCGAAACGAGCCCGCACGACTGCCATTTGCGCCTTCCTCGAATCGTACACCTCCCGTGTGGAGATCCGCTTTCCTTCTCGCCCTCCCTCCGCCCCTACCCCCGTCTTGCTCCCCGCCTCCTGGGCTTGCCTCGCGCGCACCGGTTCTCGGATCCCTTCTCCCTCCCTCCCTAGACCCTCGCCCTCCCTCCAGCCCAAAGATTTGAGCATCTGATGCCCGACATTAGCGTCGTCCAACGGCTTGTCCCCTTCCGCCCCTCCTTCTCTTCCTCCTCCCTCCCGCCTTCCTGCCTTCCCCTTCCCTTCCGGTGCCCCCCCGTTCGTCCCGCCGACGCCCCACCCACGCCCTCCCTCCCCTCCCTCCTTCCCTCCCTCCCGCCTTCAAGGTCTTGGGCCGATCATCCTGCCCGTACATTTCCCTGCGCTCTTTCGCGCGGTCACGGTAGGTGGTGGAGGCTTCCCCCGGTTCCTCCGTCATGTGTCGGGCCCGCTCTTTGGCCAGGTTCTCGGCGTGCAATTTGCTCTTTGCTTCGTGTTTCTGAACCTGCGCCCAGCTGTCAAAGGCGCGCCGACACAGGAGACACACGGGCGGACCCTCCCCGGA